CCGCCGCGCAGCCCCGCCGCCGGTCGCCCCGCGGGCGCAGCCCAGGTCCCCGGCACACCGCCGGGCCGGGCACTATGAAGGAGCAGCCCTCATGTGCGGGCACCGGGCGCCCGAGCCTGAGCATGGCGGGGTACGGCACCATGGCCCCCCTTGAACTCGCCGGCGGGCCCGCGAAGCGCTTGAGAACTGAGCCCCCCTTTCCCTGTCTCTTCGCAGAGGAGGCCTACCAGAAACTGGCCAGCGAGACCCTGGAGGAGCTGGACTGGTGTCTGGACCAGCTAGAGACCCTGCAGACCAGGCACTCGGTCAGTGAGATGGCCTCGAACAAGGTAAGCCCTGACTGTCCTGTCCCCATCCCACACTGGGGAAATACCCAGCGATCTGGGTCACCTTTACTGCGTAGTAGCTGGTTCGCTGCCTTGGAGGGAGGTTCCTAGGTCTGTGCCTTCCTTCCCTCTTCCATTCACTGTAGATAAATCACACATTTTGCAAAAGCAACTTTGACATAGTTTGATTGAGAGGCGCCAAGACACGGGGCTGTTAAGTGACACTTTGCCTCTGCAGCAGAAATCCGGTAGGGTCAGTTGGCGGTGCGTATTTATAGGTATTCTTGGGATTCCTGGTCGGAAATAAGAGTTGCAGCGCGTCAATGAGATCTCGCGGAGGCCACCACCTACTGCCTTCAGACTCCAAAGAGTTTGCTGAACTTGGAACCTTCGCTCAGTTTCTCTAGTTCTCTGGCTGGCTTGCAAGAACCGAGCCTTTGTGTATTACGGGTCCGTGGGAACATGAATGAAGTTGGAAGGTGCATGTTGATCATTGTCTCTGTTGGCTTCAGAGCTGGAAGAGAAGCCCAGAGCCTGAGGTCATTTAGGTACCGTAGGCTTCTGCTGGGCGTGTGTGCTAAGGTGCTTCTCTTGGCAATGATGGGATCTGGGGGTGACCAGTGACTGCAGTCGGAGACAGCCTTGAAATAGCCTGGAGGCGAGGTACTGTCTTACTTTTGCTCTATTTTCTTTGCAGTTCCTGTCCTTTGTGTCTTTGCTTGTGCAAGGGAATAATCGGAATTTTGTATGTTTTTAATGGCTGCCTGAAGGGACAGGAAAGGGAGTATGATCATGTCAGAGGCAGATGGCTGAAGGATTCAGGGGTAGGGGCCGTTATGTGTGACAATAATAGTTGCCTCTAAAAGGCACTTGTTTGGGGCCACCCATTGGCAAGGTCAAGAAGGTTATGCCATTTCACTGTGCATGTGTACAGGTCTATCACTGAGTGATGCCTTTCTTCAATGCCTGAAAGCTTTCTTAAATACCTTTCTCACTTTTTTTTTTTTACCTCCTGCAGTTTTTACAAAAAATCGTTAGCACTGGCTTATCATTTCTGTTAACATTGCTTACATAGATAGCATTGTTTAAATGAAAACTTGGCCTCAAGTAAATAAAAGGAGCTCCCTTGCATCCTGCCTGCAGGTGACTAACCTGTCCATTTGCACTTTGACCCATCCTTTGACATATGTGAGATACTTGGAGTTTATTTTGTCCTTTTAGTTCATTTCTAAATTTGGCATGGTTCTTCATTAGAATGAGGAGTGATTACTTTTTTATTAGGCTCTTCCTCTATTGAGGACTATGCTTGACTCAAAGTTTCATTTTTATAAAATGTTAGTCATTTTTCATAATTTGATTTATAGTAGCAGTCGACATAGGCTGCTATCCTCGGTGTCCTAAGGACTCAGGGAAGCTGCTCTGTGGTGGGCCCAAGTTCTCAGTGGCCTGGTTGATTTTTTTGTCATCAAAGGCAGAGCGGAATCTGCAGGCATCTAAAAAAACACACACATTGGTTAATGTTTCCAAGATGATTTGACAATACTTCTTCAGCACAATGATCTTCAACTGCTATAGCTACTTGCCCTAAGTCCCTGTGCTCAGTGTGAAAATTGACGTGCACTGTAACTGGGTACTGTTCAATGACTTCACCTGTGAAGTAGTTTATCTATACTTTGGAATTAGAAACACTTCAAGTCATAGTAACGCCTTAAGATGTATCTCTTTCACAGCACCAAATAAGAGAGAAATATTATTTTTTTCTTTTAAATCTTCATTGTGTATGTAGGCTTCTAAATTCAAATTTGAGTCAGTTTACAGGGCTAGTAGGGGAACTGGGTTTATTTGGTTGAAGTGAAATAGGTAGGGTGAGAAAGCTTTTTCAGAATGTGGTCATGCTAGCTGGGTTTCTGCCTTGTGGTTGGGAGATTATTGACACTTTTGAAAATGAAGCCTAACACAGCTGAAGCTGCTGCTTAAACTTCGTGTCTAGGCCATTCATTTCTTCTTAAATTCATTCGCCTTTATTGTCTATTTTTATTTATTTATTTATTGCATTTTAGAGAAGGGTCTACAAGGTGTTCAGGGTCTCACTACTAGATCAGACTCATAGTGATCCACCTGTTTACAGCTTCCCAAGAGCCTGGAATTACAGACGTGCGCCACCACGCCCAGTCTCAATTGCTATCTCAACGTACCCCAGTGCTGGGGCCCGCACAGCAGGCCCAGGAATTGAACCCCTGGGCCCCTATGCCTGCTTGCAGGCACTTTAATCCGCTGAGCTATTTGGCCAGCCCCATTCACCTTTAAATTCGCATGATACTCACGTGGCCTTGTGTCCATGAAAAAGGATTAGCCTAGAAAGCAAAGCTCTTGATAAAGGTCATCAAGTTTCCCTTCTGCTAGAAGCAAGGGTCAAGAGCTAAGAGATGAGTTGGAACAGCTGAGAGGAGGTCTCTGCCGGTGGCCTTCCGTCTGGCCTAGGAACACACCGCTGGATTCCTGATCCAGTCCAGTTGTTGATGTCTCCACAGTATGAATGAATAAATCAGAAACATTGTTCTCTAGATATTACTGTTATTGACACTCATTCTGTCAGTGTTTTCAGTTTATTGCGTTTGGGCTTTTGAAAAATTAAGACACTTTTTCTGTTCTCGTTTCTTTTTTGTGTTTTTTTTTTTCTTTTAATTTTACTCCTAACAGATTAAAAAAATATTAAGAAGTAACAGATTGTAAACATCTTAATAATAAAAATCTAAAACAGTAGTTAAAAATGAGGCTAGAAACAGCCCGCTGCAGTTTCCGTATTGGTATTGTGGTGTACCTAGTGGTTCGCTGGTGGTGCTGAGGCCGGACAACTTATTTAAATTTTGGATAAGGCAGGGTTAGCTGAAATACATGTCGGATGCTTGTACCATCTAGGACAAGAGATTCCAGATGGCATTTAATTTGAGTGATTAAATCTACAGCATTTACCCTCATAAGCTTGAGATTTGTACAGATTTCCTTTGGAACCTCATTGGTACAACTGAGAGCAGTTTCATTGGGATCTTAAGAGCTGAGATGTGCAGACCTGAAAGTCCAATCATGGTTTTATTCCACTTGTTCCTGACTTTGTTATGTTTTTTTTTTTTTTAAAAAAATGGCTTAAACTTCTTTAGTTTTGGTCTCCTTGGCAAAATATGGGCGTAAGTTTAATGTGAAAGTTCAAAATGGTGTATAAAGTGATCAGCTAAAATGGTATGTGACAAAGATAGGCACTATACCTTGGTGACCTAGGCTTTCGGTGAAACTTTATTGATTGTCTCTTGTGCTAAAATGGGTTTTTAAATTTGTTTTTACTATTCAGATATAATTTATGATAGCCATGCCAGCCCCAACTCCAGGGTGTGCTGAGATGGCAACTGAGACTGGGCCTGGTGGTGCTTGCCTGTCATTCCAGAGCTTGGGAGGCTGAAAACAGGAGGCTCACTAGAGTCCAATCCGTGTAGTTGGACCTTGTAGGCCCTGTAGTAAATACATTAATTTATGATAGACATTTTAAGTTTCTTGAAGTATAATTCTTAGGTAACTGCTAGAACACTTTGAAATTTTAGTTAGAAGTGTAGTGTTTTCTTAAATTTTCTTCAATTTAGAATTCCAGGTAGAAAAACTAAATATATTTTGAAAAATTTTGCCATAAAACTGAAAAGACAGCCCTTATTAACCTTTGGAATATGCATAGCATCATGTGCTGGTGGGCACTTTTCTATCCTTATGTGTAGGTCTTGAAAGGCTAAGTACACTTTTAGTAAAGTACTTCTGGGTGCAGAGTAGTTTCATAGTAGTAGTTTCTTTCTGCTGTGGAAAGTGTACGAGGGTGGGAGATGAAGCTGGGGGGCACGACCACAGTCCAGACATCAGGTCTTTCAAAGACTTTAGGCCCTAGAACCCTATAATTTAATCCTTTTGTACATTTCACCAGGTCTTTGTAAGTGCAGTGAAGTTTGGAGGAGAAAACAAAGTCATTTTGAGTACTACCTAAAACCTAACATCATGAAAAAGATATATTTTGTTTCTACTCTAATTTGGGGAGCAGTTCTGAAGCTGGCATTCCTGGGAACTCTTGGCTTTCAAGCTAAAAGTCTGTCCTGAAGTTAGAAGTGCGACTCCTTCTGAGGTACTTACGGTTCTTCTGTAGGCTATTTTAGAAATATTTAGACCACCTTTGCAAATGTGATCGGGACTTCTTTGTAGAATTTCTCTCTTGCTTTTCTTTTCTTTTCTTTTTATTTTTTTTGGTACAGGGAATCAAACTCAGGACCTTAGGCTTCCCAGGCAGGCGCTGAGCTGCTGAGCTATATCCCTGGTCCTGCATTTTGTTTTGAACCAGTATCTTTGGCAATTTTCTGTTGCCTGTCAATGAAAGGTGCTTTTCTGGGTTGCTTTTGCTCCGGACCTTTCTGGCTGCTCCCCCTGCTGCTCTGTGACTGTCAGCACACGTTGTAGGAAGCGCTTCAGGTGATGCTCATCAATTGTTTTCCAGGTGGAAGGCACATGGGACACTGGTGGAAGTGGCCTAATATGACAGCACTGTACCACTGCAGAGGTGTGAGATGATTTAAAATAGCAGTAAAGGTTGAACTTCGCTAAGAAGCGTGGAAGTAACAGTTTATACAGTGAAAACAGTAAATTGCTTTAAAATATATTTGACATTTAGAAAAAGAGTTATTAAGACTTAATGCACCCAAAGCAAAGCTTTTAAGTTTTAAAAGAACATGTCTTTTGTAAGTATAGAAACTACTTAACTTATATTTTAAGTTGGTATCTTTTCTTTCATCTTGTTAATAAAGACAAAATGCTTTTTTTTTTGCTTTGAATATTAGGGAAATGTTTTCAATAAAAATTTTGTTTCACAGGAGCATCACTATGAGTCCAAGTTGTGCAGCGAGACCTTGTACAAAATACATAAAAAAATGAATTGTTTCACTGAGCAGTAAGGTCTTACTTTAAGTGAGCAAGATAGT